TCTTTCTTTCTTGATACCGTCCCATTTCTAGCCATTGTTCCTATTCATTCATTATTCATTGCTTTCTTTCTTTATTTCACTATCTCATTACTTCTTTATTTATTTCTTTCTTCCTTCCTTCCTTTCTTTCTTTTTTTTCTTTCGTTCTTCTTTATTTGTTTATTTATTCCACGATGTCTTTCTTTCGTCTTTTCTTATATATGTTCATTGTTTATTGCTACTTTCCCCACCTTTGTTCTTTCGTTCACAGTTGTTTGGTTTATTTTTCCTGTCTTGCTTCTCTCTCCATGCATTAGTTTCTAAGTTGTGTTATTTGTCGATATGTTCACCACGTATTCTATTTATAATGATGGTTTCTGTTCTTCGCTCTTGCTTTCTTTCTATCTTTATTTCTTCTTCTACGTGATTCATGTTCATGTCTTTCGTTTCACGTCCTTGCCTTAGTTATTGCTACTGTCCCAACTTCTTGTCAATCTTTATGCTTTTATGTTCTATTTATTTCATTTTTGTTTCCTTTCTTTCTGCTTTCTTCCTTCCTTCCTTCCTTCCTCCTTTCTTCCTTTCTTTCTTTCTTCCTTTCTTCCTTTTTTCCTTTCTTCCTTTCTTCCTTTCTTCCTTTCTTCCTTTCTTCCTTTCTTCCTTCCTTCCTCCTTTCTTCCTTTCTTTCTTTCTTCCTTTCTTCCTTTCTTCCTTTCTTCCTTTCTTCCTTTCTTCCTTTCTTCCTTTCTTCCTTTCTTCCTTTTTGCTTTCTTCCTTCCTTTCTTCCTTTCTTCCTTTCTTCCGTTCTTCCTTTCTTCCGTTCTTCCTTTCTTCCTTTCTTCCTTTCTTTCTTTCTTTCCTCCTTTCTTCCTTTCTTTCCTCCTTTCTTCCTTTCTTCCCTGCCCCTCCTTCCTTCCTTCCTTCCTTCCTTCCTTCCTGCCTTCCTTCCTTCCTTCCCTTCTTTCGTCTTTCTGTCTTTATTTAGTATGATTTTCTGTTATTAAGTGTCCTTCTTTTCTTGCGACTTTCCCATCTCTTTTCCGTCTTGATTCCTTTCCTTCTGCCTTGCCTGTGTTCTGTCTTTCTTGGCTTCATTCATTCATTGTCTTCCTTGCTACTGCCCCCATCTCGTTTCTTTCTTTCTTTCCTTTATTTCCTTTCTTTCTTTCTTTCTTTCTTTCTTTCTTTCTTTCTTTCTTTCTGTCTTTCTTCTTTCTTTCTCTCGCTCTCTCTCTCTCTCTCTCTGTGACTTCTTCTCCGGCCTTCGCTTGGGCCGTGAGGGTCGCAGAGCGTTCACCCACCTCTCGAGCCTTGCGATGCGACAAGCTTGTCAACCACTTCAAATCTGCGCCAAACGCTCAAGTCTGCGGCCCTCTCGCGCTCATCGGTTCCACACCTGCGAGCGGACTCCAAAGCTCTGCCGGTTCTCAGGGCGGAACGCGTGGCACGGCCTGGTGGCATAGGAAGGAGTCGGAGCTTGATACCTGTCCAACTCTCACAGGCCAAGTGCACCTTCAGACTTCAGACTCAGCCAGTCCGGACCCTGCAGTTGCGCGGCCAAGATTCATGGCCTGGCACAAGGATTCTTGGGCCATGGCATCTACTTGAACCAAGCAAGCCCTGCACGAGCCTGTGCATACCTCAGAAAGGACATGGCATCAAGTTGCGTCACCACTTCAACCACGCATCTCCAGACATGCATGAACTGTGCATGTGCATCATGCTACCCTGACATGCAGGCAAATACACTGTCCAGTGCTCCCCAGGGCAACAAATGTGATAGCGTTTGGCATGGAATTCACTGCTACTCATTCCAGCCAGCATGAAAAAGCGAGCATAGCCTCTGGTGGAAGAATGGCTATGAGCTAGCTATCCGGGAGGGAACTATGGGTTGGATTGAGCTGTTGGCGCCGGGCTATGCCGGCAATTGGTGGTGAGAATGGGTGCTCTTCATGGGCTCTTCTGTGGCAGTGTGTTTGAACCCATGAATGCATACCGCATTTTTACATATTTTTACATATTTTTACATATTTTTACATTTTATGCCTGTGCTGCGGTGACGTCCTGTGATCGACCGCACAAAGGAACCACACTTCCGCTATGCTCCAAGTACCAAGCGCAAGGTTTGTGCGTGGCCATGCCTGACCGAGTTCCACACGGGTCATGCCATTCTCTGCCTGAGCTCGGCAACTTGTTTGGCTTGAAGAGGCTGCTTTGGGATTGCGGCTGGGCACCGGATAGCTCGGTGTCGGCCTGTGATGTGGGGATAATTAGCGCACATCAAACTTCGCGCATCGCAAGACACACCTCTCCGGTCTTTCGTTGCCCACCTTGGAGCTGAGCAGCCGAGCTCTCACGCGCTTAGTCTACAAAGCGGAAGCCTGCTCACGTGATTGAATACCCGAGATCAAGTTGAAAGAGTGCCCAAGTTGGATCGAAGGTCCGACACTGGTCACTCCCAGCCAGGTCACAAGTAAACACCTATGTGACTGCCACAAGAACGAGTAGTGACCAATCAAATATATTTGCATCGTTCTCAGATTTCTCAACAGCCGGGTCAATCTCTCAAACGGCATGAGAAGCTCAGGCGAACTGACTGACTACTGACTACGCAAGCCATGGCAACTAAGAGTGACTCGCATTCAGCACTTACTCGAAGCGACACTTCAACTTCCATTGTCTGCATGGATATGCCGCAAAAACTCCAGCAGAAATTCCTCTCTCAAAATGATCCTGCATATCCCCAGCATCAGTCCCATTCCAACCATTCCAATTTTGTCACGATGCATCCTTGCGGGTGCAACTTTCTCGCATTGTCTTTCTTTCTCTTGCCAGCTTCTACCGGCAAACCATTCAGTCACTGGCGCGTGTGCTGGTGCCATTGAAGTGCTTCAAATTGCTGTAAATGACCAAGGCGAAATGTGTGTCTCTTCAGTGAAAATGTCTCTATCGATCATTTGACAGCAGCCAACAGTTGCTCCACCTTGGAAAGAGAGAGCTCCAAGGCTTTCCTCTCGAAGGGTCTTTCGTTGCTGTGTTTCACTGACTGTCCCATCGATAGTTGTAATGAATGTGGTATTCCTTCAAGGTTGGATGAGGTTTTCAGCCTCACTGCCAGTCGCAGAAAGCACGATTTCCAGTGGCAAGTAAAGCGATGTGGCCTGTCTCTCACAAATTCATCAAACAGAAACAGGACCGAGACTATTTGCTGAATGTACCGACTCAGTGGCCTTCACCGCACGCTGTGTTGATCAGGCAACTATCCCAATGGCTACTACAAATCCTGCCGAGCATTCCTGGTTGCCGGCTTTTCAAAAGTTTGTCTATGACTACATGCGTTCAGTGTTTTTGATGGTCACCCCAGTGTGTCTGCATCCACTGAGCATAATCTTCTTTGATGCCCAAAGTGAAGTGCTAAGCATGCCGCGCGCTTGAGCGAAAGCTCCCAGTCTGAGGGATGAGCATGCGCCGCTTCCCAAAGCGCTCGCGCCACCTTGCGCGCCTCGTCATCCTTCCCACCTGCCAGACTGTGACTCCGGCGACTTTGCTCTCCAGACTTGCGCTCTCGCCTCCAGGCGCACCTTCCAAGCAGGACACACTGAAATGCCCGACATGGACATGAGCCTGCCTGCGTGCGCGCTAGACATGGCTGGGATGGGAGGCCTGCACTGCTCGGCCGCAAAGCCGCAAGCCGCAAGCGTCGCGCGCGTCGCGCGCGTCGCTGAGTCGCTGAGTCGCTGAGGTGGAAACAGCTGCTGCCCTTTCGCAATCTGGAACAAGTCGGCCACCTGCCCGCAAGCCGCTCGCATGAAACGCTTGCCGAAGCATAAGCTCGGGGCGCTCAACTTGCCTTGTTGCGGCTCCTCAGACCCGACAGCATCGAATCTGAGTCTCGCATGTCTTGGATGCCGACTGGAGCATTTTGCCTGGCAGCCGCTGCAAACCACCGAGCCAAGCTTTCCACAACCGACCTCCCCAGCATGGACAAAATCGATCTCCCTGCTGAATTGCTGCCGGTATGATTCACTGGCGCAGCCTGGCCATCACTTGCAAGCTCAGCATGTCGCATATCACATAGTGTCACAGAGTCACAGAGTGTCACACCTGCTCACTGCTTGGGTAGGCAGGTCTTGCAGATGCCTTGGCGTGATAGCAGTAGTGGCAATGGTGGTATTGGTAGCAGTGGTGGCAGTTGTGGCAGAATTTGATAAGCCACGAGCATGCTGCCGGGATTTCCTCGAGCGTTGCAAGCGTTCGAAGCGTTCTGGGAGTTCTACGTAATTAAGCGTTCCAAACGTGTAGACGCGCAGGCCGTTCAGGCAATGCGCAACTTCAGTCTTGAGTCACTGGCACGTGCGTCTCAACTACTTTCTTGTCTCCGTATCCTCTCACCTAGGCAGCTTTGAAGAGGAACAAACTCGCCATTGGGTAAGATCCTCACAGAGTTGCCCACGACACCTGCCAACACAAGAGCAAAAGAGCTATTGTTTTAGCCACAAGAGCAAAAACAGCCACAAGAACAGCAACGGCTGTGGCCTGGTCTCGCCGGTTGTGCTGATGGCCTGAGGGATGAAATGACATCACATGCTCAGCCACATGAGCACAGTGAAACCCACGATCACATCTTCCGTTTCTCATGAGGCCCAGCGACTGCTTTGAGCTTCTCTGAACGAGATCCTCCCCTTCCAGCCTGCCAAATTCCGCTTTCAACTTGGGGCCTAAGCCTTTTCAAACGTCTCACAATAGTGCCAGCTTCTCTCTCGTGCTGTCATTCCTACTTCTCAGAGATGTGAGCGCTTTACTGGAGCAATCAACATCGGCAAATTGTGGTTGCACCCACATTGTGAAACATGTGATTTGCACGAGGTCTAACAGTTGCCACAGAAACGCGCGCCTCGTCTTGTCAGACCTGCCCGGCGCTGCCAACTTTGGAGCAGGCCTTGCAGCTCTGCTCGCATCTCGGATCTCAAGCACTCCAAGGCTGCGGCGCGGGCGCGACGGGTGCCGGTGCTGTGACCACA